CTCACTGAGCGTGGATGAGGACTATGACCTCCGTCTTTCTGGCCTCTCGCTGCCCTCCTTCTGCGCTGTGCACCTAGAATGGATCCAGTACTGTGCCTCTCGGCGAGGCCAGGTCAGGCCACCACTACCCTGGGGCTATCCCACCCCAGGCTTTGGGAATCTGGACCTGGGCTTACCACTGCTTCTCCTCCCCGTTCACACTCAAAGACTCCCTTGACCTGGGCCCCAGCTCCTACCCCTAAGTTCCCAGTCCTAGATCTGAGCTGGGCTCTGGGGATGGGGGTCCTTGTGCCATAGCCCGTGAACCAGGATTGGAACTCGCCGCTGGTCACGCTGTGTTTTGGCCTATGTGTGTTGGGCCGCCGGGCCCTGGGGACAGCCTCACACAGCATGTCTGCCAGGTAGGTGCCCACATCCAGCTGAGCCTACTGCTCTTCTCCCCCCCACCCCTCCATGAAGAGCTCTGTGTTTCTGGAAACTTCTTAGTGGTGTGTCTTGTCTTGTGTAGACAAGGCATTTCCCAGCCATGACCTGACTTGCTCCTCACCACCCTGTGAGGGACATGGGCAGAAAATGGCCTCCTTAGCAAAATGAGAAAAACTGAGGCCTAGTGTGAAGAAGGGTCTGAGCTCAGATCAGTTGGAAATCTAAGACTCTGGCTCCTCCCCACCTCACTCACATGTTCCTCCTCCCCACCTAGCCTGGAGCCTTTCCTCTACGGCCTACACGCCCTGTTCAAGGGGGACTTTCGTATCACCTCCCCACGTGACGAGTGGGTCTTTGCTGACATGGACTTGCTTCACCGAGTAGTAGCACCTGGGGTTCGAATGGCTCTCAAGCTTCACCAGGTGGGAGAGGAGTGTGCCTGGGCAGTGTGGGCAGGTGGTGGATGAAGCCTCACCCCATGGCAGGAGCCCCTGACCTCCATCATCCTGTCTTTTCCACTAGGATCACTTCACATCCCCAGATGAATACGAAGAGCCAGCAGCCCTGTATGATGCTATTGCAGCCAATGAGGAGCGGCTGGTCATCTCCCACGAGGGTGACCCAGCCTGGCGCAGTGCCATCCTCAGCAACACGCCTTCTCTGCTGGCACTGCGTCATGTCATGGACGATGCTTCTGACGAGTACAAGATCATCATGCTTAACCGGCGCCACCTCAGCTTCCGAGTCATCAAGGTGGGGCAGCCCTACTCTGCCCCGTAGCCCAGGCTCCCCTCCCTGTCATCAACATCCTGACCCTCTGTGACCACACACAGGTGAACCGAGAGTGTGTGCGTGGACTGTGGGCCGGACAGCAGCAGGAGCTGGTGTTCCTGCGCAACCGCAACCCCGAGCGGGGCAGCATCCAGAACGCCAAGCAGGCACTCCGTAACATGATCAATTCCTCCTGCGACCAGCCACTTGGCTACCCCATCTATGTGTCGCCCCTCACCACCTCACTGGCTGGAAGCCACCCCCAGTTGCGGGCGCTGTGGGGTGGCCCCATCAGCCTGGGGGCCATTGCCCGCTGGCTCCTGCACAGCTGGGAGAGGTGAGCCCTGGCTGCCACCCAGCTCGTGAAGCCTCATGAAGGGATGATGGGCTGAGCTTCCAGAGGAGGAAGCAAAGGTGCAAGGAAGTGAGGCAACTCCCTCTGAGATCCCTGAGTGAGAAGCACTAGAGTCTGGGCTTGAACCCTGAGGTGTGAACCCCTCTCAGAGGGGTCCCCTTTCCCTTAGAGCTGCCAGTGGCCTTTAGTTTTAAGCAAAAGGTCCTGTGAAATAGGCAGCAAAGTCTCTTGAGATGAGGACCCTGGGGCTCAACGATGTTAGATGACTTCTGGTCAGGCCTATGCCCCGTCTAAACCTTTCCCCACCTCCTCACCCCCAGGCTTCATAAGGGCTGTGGCGCTGGATGTAATAGTGGTGGCAATGTGGATGACTCTGACTGTGGTGGAGGAGGCGGCCTAACCTCCCTCAGCAATAATCCCCCTTTGGCACACCCCACACCTGAGAACACAGCAGGTGAGCAGGCAAGGCTGGGCTGAACAGTGGGGGAGGACCACAGCCCAGCTGAGGTCTCTGCTCTCTTATCTATCTCCTACAGGGAGCAGTGAGCAGTCCCTCCCGTCAGGCCCTGGCTGGGGGCCACGGCCCTCCCTCAGCAGCTCTGGTGATGGGCGGCCCCCCCCTCTGCTACAGTGGCCTCCCCCTCGGCTCCCTGGACCACTCCCTGCCTCACCTGCTCCCACTGAGGGTCCTCGGCCCTTACGGCCCCCTGGCCCTGGTCTCCTCAGTTCTGAGGGGTTCAGTGGGAAGTGGAGCCTGGGGGGTCGGAAGGGGCTGGGAGGATCCGATGGGGAGCCAGCCTCAGGGAGCCCCAAAGGAGGCACCCCCAAATCTCAGGTAAGGGGTCTGTGGGAGGGGCGGGTTCTAGAAGGCTCATGTCTGCTTGCCTGCCAACCTGTCTTCTCTCCTCTAGGCGCCTCTAGACCTCAGCCTCAGCCCTGATGTCAGTTCGGAGGCCTCACCCTCCAGAGCAACCCAGAACATTCCTTGCTTGGACAGCAGTGCCCCTGAGAGTGGCACACCCACCGGGGCCCCAGGTGACTGGCCTGCTCCTGCTGAGGAACGCGAGAGCCCAGCTGCACAGCCCTTGCTGGAGCATCAGTACTGACTGGCCTGGCGTCTCCCTGGATCCTGTCCTGGGACTCAGTGACTTAGACTCCTTCTGCTGCCTTGGCCTTCTCTGCTGGACCACAGAACTGAGTGGCTTTGGCTCCCAAATCTGAACCTTGACCTCTGGCTGCCTCAACCAGAGTACTGGAACTGAATGGCCCGGACCTCTGACCTTGACCCCTGGTCTCTCTCCCTAATCCATGGCCTGGGTCCCAAATTGAGGCAGTTAGCCTCCCAGCTAGGCCCTAAGAGCCAAACCCATGGGCTGGTCCCTCTTTGAGCCCATAGTCAGGACTGACTCTGTCCCTGGGCCTGGCACTGCCTGCAAGGCTGGTCCCCTTGGCCTGGACCTGGGGCCTAAAATGTGGCAAGGATGGTTTCTTCTTTTTTTTTTTTTTTTTTTGTCATTTCTTTTTTTTTTTCCATGCTTCAGAGACTCCAAATTAATAACACTATTTTTGATTTTGGTTGGCAGTTTTTTCTTCTACCTGGGGATGGGTGCAGGGTGGTGGAGGTAGCCAAGTCAAAGCAGATGAATGCAAGAGGGTGAAGGATGTAGGGCTGAAGAATGATGGATTTAGAGGTCATACCAAGGTAGGGAGCAAATAGGAATGGGTCCCCTCCCCAAAGCCTGTTTCCTTTGTGAGCCTTAATGCAAAGGTGGTTGTGTCCATTTTCCAGTCCTCTGTATTCAAAAGATTTCTAGCTATGGTGGCTCCCACATTTATCAGCTTTGATTGGGCCAAAGTCTCTGAACCTCAGTTGTTCCAAGCCTTAAAGAGGTGATAGCATCTGTGTAAGGTGTTTTAAGAACAAATGAGAAGGACCAGGAGTGGTGATACATGCCTGTAATCCCAGCTTCTTCAGAGGCAGAGGGAAGAGGCTCCAGTCCCAGTTTGGCCAGGGCAAAAGCCCAGTAACCCTATCTGAAAAATAAGCCAAAAGCGAAAAGAGCTGGAGCATGCGTGGCTCAAGTGGTAGAGCGCTTCCTGGAGGAGGCTTTTAAGTTCAAACCCCAGTATCTCCAAGAAAAGAAGAAATGGGCGTGTGTAGAGAAGTTACTCGAGGTTCAGTACGGAGCCAATGCTCAAGGAAATAGTCAAAGTGCCTGAGCACCTGCGGTCTGTCAGGCCAGTGCTGGACACTAGGTGGCCTCTAGCCCTCCCCATTGGTCTAGAAGGCGGGTGCATTTGTTTCCGTTCCTCGGCGAGACGCGAGCGAATTAGAACAGTGGCTGGAAGCCCGGCAGCCCTTCTGGCCTCAGACTGAGCAAGGCTGACCATTGCCCGTCCCCGAGTCCCCGCCCGTGCTTCCCCAGGCAGGCAGCACCCGGGCGGCCCAGCCCCTCCGCGCGAGGCCACGCCCCCGGGTTGGCCACGCCCCCAGGCGGAGCCGGCTGGCGGAGCGGTAGCGGGAGAACAGACAGCCGGACCCCCGCGCGGCAGGCGGCGGTGGTGGCGGCGGCAGAGGCGGCCGGGTGAGAGCCCCAGAGGTACGGCGGGAGCAGAGGGCGGGAGGTACAGCGGTCGGGTTAGACAGGGGACAAGGCGGCCTAGCTGGGGGTCCGGGTGGTGTGGGGAGGGACGGGCTCCTCGCCGCCTGTCCCCTCCCAAGCTCCCTCAGGCTCCGGCTCAGTCCGGAGTCAGCATGTCCAATCCCTTGCCTCCGGCCGGCGGCTCCCACTCCCTCCCCTGCACGACGGCCTAACCCCGCCGGGGAGCCACTAAGTGTACTCATCGGTTCCCGACTTCTCAGTGGCGCGGGCAACTGCTGCTGAGTTGGGGGGCCCTCCTCCATTCGGGGGCTTCCCTTTTTCCTGGGCGTTCTCTTCTCCAGCCCTTGCACCCTGCTCCCCATTCCCGGGCCTGGCCTGGGAGGAAACATCTGTCGCGCCCCCTGGCAGCAGAAATAGGGTCATGACCTCCAGATGTGCTGGGAAGCGTCCAGCTCCTTCTCCGGGGGCAGTCAGGCCTTCCGGATCTGTGGGGGCGGGGCCGCCCCTCTTCCCCCCAGTGACACAGGCTGTGAGGAATGTCCTGGCCTCAATGGACCCTGTGTGAAGCTGTAGTAGTAGGATGGGGGGCAGAGCCCAAGAACACCCCTTAAGACTGGGCCAGAGCAAGAGGCAGCCTATGGGCTGGGCTGCACACATTCACAGAGCTCACTCACACGTGTACAGAACTCAGCCCACACACAGCTGGGCCTGCAGGGACCCCCCTCCCTCCTTCCTTGCCTTACCTTCACTCCTCATACTCAAAATCCAAGCCCAAGCCTGCATGTGCCCAGAGTATGGCACATGGAGTTGGGGTAGCACCAGTCTCACACAAACACACACACACACACACACACACACACACACAGGTGGCCAGCTTCACTGGCTTCATCCTCCTTTCAGTCTCCCAGCAGTCTTGGGAGGGAGCAGGAATAGTTAAGCCCCTTTTAGAGATGAGGAAACAGCAGCTCAAGGTCAGCATCAGAGCTTGTCCTCTGAGAAACTAAGGAAGGAGCGCCCCTGAGTTTTGAAGGCCTACCCTTATTTGGTTCTAGAGGCCCAGCTGAGGGGGGCCTGGAACTCCTCCCCCAGCCCTCTTCTGGCTTAGCCCCATAAGATGTCACTGAATGAGGTATGAAGACTTACCAGCAAATGCCTGCACTTGCAGTAATGGTCCCCAAGCCCCTGCCCTAGCTGCCCACTCCGGCCACAGTTCACCTAAGGGTGGTTTCCCCTTCATGCTCTCACACTACCTTTTGCACCTGCCTCTTGCCTTACCACATTTCCGCACTTAGCAGGTCTCTGGGGCCTTGGGTGTCTCAGTCTTACATCCTGTGTGACCTTGAGACTGCACTCAACTCCCACTTGCCCCACACCTACACACACCGGCACCGGGACAGGACTGGCCAGATGCAGCTGTTAAGACTCTGGATATGGACAGACCCAGATTTTTTGTTGGTGGTGGAACTGGGGTTTGAACTCAGGGCTTCGCACTTGCAAAGCAGGCCACACCTGTAGTCCATTTGGCTCTGGTTATTTTGGAGGTGGGGGTCTCAAAGAACTATTTGCTGGGCTGGCCTTGAACTGAGATCCTCCCTGATCTCAGCCAACCCCTCCTGGCTCCAGATTCAAATTGTAGCTCTAACATGGAATTGCTTATTGCTTGCTGGAATTGCCTTCTTATCTGGACCCCAGTTTGGCCTTCTATCACAGTGGGTCCACATCAGTGAGCCCAGATAGGCAGAGGTTTACATAGATTTCAGTTCTCGCACAGGGGCCTAGCCAGCGTTACTTCCTCTTGCCCCCAGGCATGGACACAGTAACCTGCAAGAGGGTAGGCCCAGGGGGCTGGTGGAGTGGCTCAAGTGGTACAGCACCTGTCTAGCAAGCGTGAGGCCCTGAGTTCAAACCCCAGAATCACCACACACAAAACCACACACGCACAAAAAAAGGGTAGGCCCAGGCCTGTCCTTGAGGTCAGGGTAACCTGGGTCCCATGACTGAGCTGGTGTGACTCCAGCACCTTCCTCAGGATGTGGGGGCCAGGTAGGGGGCTGGGCCCAGAGTTGGAGGCATTTCCTGTGTTGAAGGAAGTCCTCTTGCCATTTCTGCTGCCCTGCAGCCATCCTAGGAGCCCTGTGTCCTTGAGGTTTTGAGGCTCTAGGAACCAGGGCGCTGCAAGCAGGCCTTGGGTGCTCAGCTCCTCAGGGACCCTGGAGGAAGTGGGAGGTACAGGGAGGAAGGTCTCTGGGGACAGGACGTCCTCCCTTTGTCCAGCAGGCAGAACCCAGACACCCGTGGCCCCATGAGTTTCCCGTCCTGGCCAAAACCAGTTGTGTGTCCCCTTGGGCCAGGCTTTAGTAAGGACCCTTACTCTGAGCCCAGCCCACAGCCACGGTGTATAGGTGGGAACTGGGGGACCCCGGCAACCCCAGGGCTGCTCAGACTCTAGGACAATCAAGGCCAAGACCCCACAGCCAGCCTCTGGCCCTGCCCAGTGCTAAGCCGGGGAGGGGGCTGGAAACCTCAGCCCTAGGCAGACAAGGAAGTGGCCAGGAAAGCGGAAGCAGCTTTGATGGTCTCAGAGGGGGCCGGAAGCCAACGGGGGTGGTAGAGGACTAGGCTGGGGGCCTATGTTCCTGTTTTCTCCCCAGGCACCTCTGAGCAGCCCCCTCCTCCTTCAGAGCAGGATCTGCTGCCGTAACCTCAGCTTGCCGGCTGGGCACCAAACACCAGTGCCTGCCAATGCTGCCCGGCCCCCAGAGAGTCAGGCCCACAGAGCACACCCATGTGGGCTGGTGGTGTGGGGAGCCCTCGGCGGGGCATGGCCCCTGCACCTACTGATGACCTCTTTGCCCGTAAGCTTCGCCAGCCAGCCCGGCCCCCACTGACACCACACACATTTGAGCCAAGGCCAATCCGGAGCCCACTTCTGCGCAGTGGCAGTGATGCAAGTGAGGCCCGGCCCCCAACACCAGCCAGCCCCCGGGCCCGGGCCCACAGCCATGAGGAGGCTAGCCGTCCTGCCGCACCCCCCACTCGGCTTTTTACTGACCCACTGGCACTGCTGGGGCTGCCAGCCGAGGAGCCAGAACCCACCTTCCCACCTGTGCTGGAGCCCCGATGGTTTGCTCACTATGACGTGCAGAGTTTGCTCTTTGATTGGACACCACGGCCAAAGGGGACAGGAGGCCATGCAGAGGCCAGCTCTGGGACCCCAGCCTTGGCTGAGGACCAGGCCACCAGCTCAGACCTGCTGCTTGGAGCACCTGGCTTTGTGAGCGAGCTTGGGGGTGAGGGTGAGCTAGGTCTGGGTGGACCAGTGTCCCCACCTGTGCCTCCTGCACTGCCCAATGCGGCCGTGTCCGTTCTGGAAGAGCCACAAAACCGGACTGAGGCCTACAGCCTGGAGCATGCAGACCTAGGTGCTGGATACTACCGCAAGTACTTCTTCGGCAAAGGTAAGGCCAGGGGAGAGGCAGGTGGGGGTCTAGGGCAGAAGTCCCATTGCTTATTGTACACCCAGTAGGGGCTTGTGGGCTGTCCTTTTCCTGTAAGGTCCCTAGCCATAAGAAGGAATAGGAGTTGAGCCAGGACAGTGCTGACCCCTTCTAACTACCTCTTTAAGGCCAAGCCCTGGTCCCACACTCCACCCCTCTGATCTAGTTCATCCTCATAACCCTCCCAGCTGGGGAGAGTTTTCCTGTCTGTGAGATGAAAACTCAGGCCTAAAGGCCTGGCATTCAGAAACCTGCTCTCCTCGTTGCTGTGAAAAATGGGACGCTGGGCTTGGAGGGGAGCATATAGGTGTTATAGATGGGGCCAGGACATCATCTCAGCCCTGGAGCAGTCAGGCACTGGCCCTCTGGGAAGGTGTGATGTGAACAGTTCTGAAAGGATGGGACTTAGTCTAGGGTCCACACTTGGTGAGGTGGGGCCTAGGGCAGGACTCTGTGATGGGTGGCCAAGCTGGGGGGTGGGTTGCCTTGGGGCAGAATCAATTATCCACTCTTGGCACCCCCAGAACACCAGAACTTCTTTGGAATGGACGAGGTGTTAGGCCCAGTGGCAGTGAGCCTGCGGCGGGAGGAGAAGGAGGGCAGCGGAGGGGGCACCCTGCACAGCTACCGTGTCATCGTGAGGACCACACAGGTGGGCTGGAATCATGGGATCAGGCTGTGGGTTCTCCCCTCTGTGCCCTGTATGAATTCTGAGCTCTTTACCACCTCCTCAGCTCCGGACCCTACGAGGTACCATCTCAGAGGACGCACTGCCACCAGGGCCCCCAAGGGGCCTGTCCCCAAGGAAGCTTCTGGAGCACGTGGCACCACGGCTGAGCCCAAACTGCCTGCGACTGGGCTCCGCTTCTCCCAAGGTGCCACGCACACTGCTTACGCTGGATGAGCAAGTGGTGAGTAGCCTGGAGGGAAGAAGGGTCCAGCCTCAAACAATCTGGTCTGAACTCAGTCTGCCTAGCTCCTTTTCCTGACCCTGACCCTGACCCTTGGTTGCACATTGACCCCAGGAGAGCTGGTTCACCTCCAGTGTTTTGGAGAGAAGAATCAGAGGTCATCTAGAGCCTTGCTTGTCAGAGTACGTCTGTACAGCAGCAGCATCCATAGCATCCTGAGGCATTTTAAAAAGACCCCAAGGTGATGCATATGTTCTTTATAGCCCTAGAAGCCCCGGTCTGACTGACCCCCAGTGCTCCAAAGTTCCCTCATCATTCCTGACCAATTTGCCTTGCAGTCCCTACTTGGTCTCCTCTCAACATGGGATGCTTGCTCCATGCCAGAGCTGCCCATTCTGCTTTAGTAGTCAGGCCAGTTGGAAGTCCTTCCTTAACCTGTGCTAAAAGCCACCCACTACCCTGACTCTCCTCCTCTGTGTTGTCCAATCTATCAGTTCTTATACCTTCTTGGTGTTAGGCCTAGAATAGATGCTGGGACAGGTTCAGTCTGGGTGCTTACCTTGAGTAGCTCACTGAAGTTTGAGAGAGACCGACAGAGGACAATGGAAATACAGGAGCAGTATTCAAGTGAAAGGGGAATGAGAGTGGTCTGTGGGCACAAAGGTAGTGTTGACAGCTCTTCCTTGGCCAAGGCTTCACACCATGAAGGAAATGCAAGAGCTCAGGCCAGCATGAGCTGGTGTTTTCTGACAGACAGAATTGAGCAAGGCTTTCTGGGCCAAAGAAACAACTTGCATGATGGTTTAGCGATCAAATGCATGTCACATGCAGCTTAGGGTGTGTGGAGGGCTTGTAGGAAGGACATGGGGCAGGCTTCTTTTTGGACCCGTAGGCACTGGGGAGCCATAGAGGGATTCCAAGCAGATCTAAGAAGCAACATGGCCCTTTGGCTGCAACATGGGCACTAGGCTGGGGGAGTAGGGAGGCCAGGCTGAAGACTGTTGCTATTGACTAGGCTAGACATGGTGGTGATAGTGGAGGAAGTAACAGTCCAAGGATAGAGCCCTTGAGCCTGACTGAAAGGTGGGGAGGGCTGAGAGTCCTAGCTTCTTGGCCACCTGGAGTGGTGTTTTTAATGGAGCCAGGAACCCTGGAGGAGGAATAAAGGACATGGAAGTCACAGCAAGGAGGTGAGGTGCCAAGGTACTGGAAGAGCATCCAGTAGCTGGGGAAAAGGGATCTGGAGTTTAGGAGGAGTCTGGGCTAGAAGCAGAAATGGGGTGTCATCCCATGGAAGTGGCTGCGCAGCCACTGAAGGAGAAACACAGGTGAAGAGGCCCAGGCAAGGTGAAATTCCAGTTGTACCCCATGCCAACTGTGGCCAAGAGGGTGCCAGAATGAGACCACATCTGTGGGTTATAGGGGATGTTGGGGTTTATTTAAATTAAGGTTTTGATGGTGCTGGCGATGAACCCAGGGCCTCAGGCATGCTAGGCAAGTGCTCTACCACTGAGCTTAGCTTTGAAGAAGGAAGGTGAGAGCTGGGGAGACCCCAGGTTTGCTTGAATGGGGTCAGAGAGCCTTTAGCTGTTCAAGTTACCCACAGATGGAAAGGAACTGGGAGTTGGAAGAGTGTAGAGGGGATGAGGAGCAGAGATGGCTTAAGACCTCAAGAGGCAGGAGAGGGGGGTGCCTTGAATTTGAGGGAGGGGAGGATAGTCTAGCCTGTTGTTATCCTAAGGAGGATAAAAACGTGGACAATGACTGAGAGTAAGTGTACTGTATATGGGGTCCTTTTCTATTGTCACTAAAGAACCAACCCACTCCCAACCTTCCTGAACATAAGGAGGACAGCCTGTACCACTTGACTGGCCAAGACACAGAGAGGGCTGAGAGGGCTGAGGGGGCTACACCTCAGAACCACATACTGAGGCAGCCCAGTCCCAGGCCAGTGAGCGATCATTCCTCACAGCGTGGGGTGGGGTGGGGTGGGGGGCTCGTGGAGACTAACACCTATGCCTCCTGCCGTCCCCTCCCCACCAGCTGAGCTTCCAGCGCAAGGTGGGCATCCTGTACTGCCGGGCAGGCCAGGGCTCGGAGGAGGACATGTACAACAATGAGGAGGCAGGAGCAGCCTTCATGCAGTTCCTTACCTTGCTGGGCGACGTGGTGCGGCTCAAAGGCTTTGAGAGTTACCGGGCCCAGCTGGACACCAAAAGTGAGGCCCAGGGGGGCTGGAGGGGCAAGGGCAGACCCATGCTGAGTGGCAGAACTTCTTTATTACTCTCTTGTCTGATTGGCCAGGGGCTGGGACTGACGGCTTCAAAGGCCATCTGTGGCTGGGAGAAGGGACTGGGACTATCCCCCAAGGCCCAGGACCCTAGCCTGAACTGGGCACCATCCCTCCATCTAACATTCCAGAAGCCCATTCTCTGGAGGAGTGCCCCTGCCTCCCTGGATGGAAGGGCTCTAGGATCCCTGGGAGCTGATTTTACAGAGCACTTGCCTAGCTTCCACTCTCCCAGCATGCCCCACGTCCTCAGACCAACACCTGTCTTCACAATACCTTTATCCTGATCCTTCCTCATCCTGGCCTAAGACTGAAACCTGTGGGGAGGGGGCAGAGACCTGCCAAGGCTGAGGATCTTGAACCCTGTGCCCTGGCCATTGGGCTGGTGACATGAGGGAGTTTTCTACTTACTGGCTGGCACTCAGGGCATGGAGGCTCCTGAGTGCCGGCAGGTATGGCAGGTTCAAGCCGTTCACACTCGCCTTGCTCTCCCTCTGTGTCCCTACCTGCCTGGCCACAGCGGATTCCACTGGCACGCATTCCCTCTACACCACCTACCAGGACCACGAGATCATGTTCCACGTCTCCACGATGCTGCCTTACACCCCTAACAACCAGCAGCAGGTGTGAGGGGGCTAAGTGGGGAACCATGGTGGGTGCTGTGTTGGGTACGGCAATATCTGAGCCTTGGCCTGAGCTCTGCTGACGCCCAACAACCCTCCTCTCTGGCAGCACCTTCCCAGACTTCCACCTCGGGCCTTCCTTGGGAGGTGGGGGGCCACTGGTGCCCAGGCTTCACCCTGCCTTAAGGAGGGGGTTTGGTGTCACACAACCCCTCTCACATCCCTAGCTCCTGAGGAAACGCCACATTGGCAATGACATCGTGACCATCGTGTTCCAGGAGCCTGGCAGCAAGCCCTTCTGCCCCACCACTATCCGTTCACACTTCCAGCATGTCTTCTTAGTGGTGCGAGCACATGCTCCCTGTACCCCGCACACTTCATACAGGTGGGTGCCCAGGTGGTCCCAGGTCTCTCATGGGCACGGATTCCTGGACCCTCTCTGCTGTCCCTCACTGCAGCCTCCTTCCACTCAGGGTAGCCGTGAGCCGCACTCAGGACACTCCGGCCTTTGGGCCTGCTCTGCCTCCTGGTGGAGGCCCCTTTGCAGCCAATGCTGACTTCCGGGCCTTCTTGCTGGCCAAGGCGCTCAATGGTGAACAGGCAGCGGGTCATGCACGTCAATTCCACGCGATGGCTACGCGCACGCGCCAGCAGTACCTCCAAGACCTGGCCACCAATGAGGTGACCACTACATCGCTAGACTCTGCCTCGCGCTTCGGCCTGCCCTCTCTGGGTGGCAGGCGCCGGGCCACCCCTCGGGGCCCTGGTGCTGAGCTGCAGGCTGCGGGTGCGCTGATGTGGGGCGTGCGCGCAGCGCCCGGGGCGCGGGTCTCGGCGGGAGTCGAAGTGGGCGGTCCCGACGCCTCTGAGGTGCCCTGCCTGCTGGGCATTTCGGCGGAGGCATTGGTTTTGGTGGCGCCGCGGGACGGTCGGGTAGTCTTCAACTGTGCCTGTCGCGACGTGCTAGCCTGGACCTTCTCGGAGCATCAGCTTGACCTATACCACGGCCGCGGGGAGGCGATCACGCTGCGGCTCGACGGAGCTCCGGGTCAAGCCGTGGGTGAGGTCGTGGCGCGCCTGCAGGTGAGCCTGAGAGGGAAACCGAGGCCCAGGACTAAGCGCCGGGTTGCAAGGTAGCTGGCCGCCTGGGGCCCTCTGGCGTCGGGGACTGAGCCTGCCTTGGAGCCCCCGCCTGCCACGCAAGGGCAAGGCCAAGGTGGGGCAGAGGCAGCCTGGGAGCTTGGCAGAGCTGGAGCAGGGTCTCGGGCAAGAGGCCTCGGGTCCCAGAGCCTCCTCTGTCGGATGGGTGGTTAATGCTCTCCACGCGGGGTGTGGACAGTCCGTGGGGACGGGCGGGACCCGGGGGTGGGGCTGGCGCTGAGAGGCCCGGCCTGGCCCCGCCCACTCCCGCCCCTCTCCGCCCCGCAGCTGGTGAGCCGTGGCTGTGAGACGCGCGAGCTGGCGTTGCCCCGCGACGGCCAAGGCCGCCTGGGCTTCGAGGTGGACGCCGAGGGCTTTATCACGCACGTGGAGCGCTTCACATTCGCCGAGACCACGGGGCTTCGGCCCGGGGCGCGCCTGCTGCGCGTGTGCGGCCAGACGCTGCCCCGCCTGGGTCCCGAGGCTGCAGCCCAGTTGCTGCGCTCCGCGCCCAAGGTCTGCGTCACCGTCCTGCCCCCGGATGAGAGCGGCCGTCCCCGCAGGTCAGGGCGCCCGGGACGCCGGGAGGTGGGAGAACTGGGCAGCTGGCCGGCTGTCGTGTCGCCATCAGCATGCTCTCATCGTTCACATGTGAATGCTTTCGTTCTTGAGAAAATCCCGGGTCTCGTGCTCTCTCTGAACTGCACCTTACCTACAGAGTGGAACTGATAAGCACGCGCTTTCACGGCTCAAAACATCAAATAACCCCCACCATCTTTCTAAAGGATTACCAAGCGCACACGCACACCATGCGCACACACTTCGTTACTTACCTAAGCCCACTATTGGCAAACTTTCTCTCTAAAAACTTTCTGGGCTAGCCAGTCTCTGCTGAAGTTACCCAACTCTGTCATAGTAGGTAAAGGAATAAGTACAGCTGAGTTCCACTGAAAGTACGTTGGAATATTCAGATTGTATACAGACGTTCCTTGTTTTATGAAGAGGCTGCTGCTGATAAAACTATTCCAAGGGCCAGGGCCGGTGGCTCACTCTGTAATCCTAGCTGCTCAGGAGGCAGAGATCCAGAGGATCATAGTTCAAAGACAGCCCCAGGAAAATAGTTCTGGAGACCCTATCTGGAAAAAACCCATCACAAAAAAAGGGCTGGTGCTTGTCTAGCAAGAGTGAGGCCCTGAGTTCAAACCCTAGCACCGCCAAAAACCATCAATAGTTTGAAAAATTGCAGGTCATACCATGTTAAATCCAGATTGTAATTTTTACTTGTCTCAAAATAGCCTATTGATTTTTTTCAACTACTTAAATATCTAAAAACCATCCTTAGCTGACAGGAGGAGTTACAAAAACAGGCACATGTGCTGAAAAAGAAACAAAAAAAAAAGGCACAGGCCAAATTTGGCTCCAAGAATACTTTTTTGTTTGCTTTGATTTGTTTTTTGAAACAGGGTTTCACTATGTAGCCCAGGCTAGCATTGAAAGGGCAATCCTCCTGCCTCAGCCTCTGAATGCTGAGACTATAGGTGAGTACCACTACACCCCACTCAGACAGTACAGTTTGGATGGTAAGCCATTTACATGTGCTGTTTTTGGTGGCACTGTTGTTTGAACTTGGGGTCTCACATTTGCTAGGCAGGTCTCTACCACTTGAGCTACTCCCACAGTCCTAGGTGCTTTTCTTTTTTTTTTTTCAGTAAACACACCACTATAAGGTCAACTGGCATCCCCAGTTCACAGAGAAATTGATGTTCAAGTGTGGTTTGCCCAGGACCTATGGGGCAGCACTGGGATTTGAACCTAGGTCTGGCACTTTTTTTTTTTTTTTGCAGTCCTGGGGCTTGAACTCAGGGCCTTCAGCTTGAGCCACTCCACCAGCCCTATTTTTCTGAAGGGTTTTTCGAGATAGGGTCTTGTGGAATTATTTGCCTGGGCTGGCTTTGAACCACGATCCTCCTGATCTCTGCCTCCTGAGTAGCTAGGATTACAGGCGTGAGCCACCAGCGCCCAGCCTTTTTTTTTTTTTTTTTTTTTTTTTTGTATCAGTGCCAGGGAGTTTTGGGAGCTCTTCTTTAAGTCTGGCAGCAGCTAAGATGTGACTGGCAACTCAAGGCACTTGGGGAGCCCTGCCTGACATTGTTCCTCCACTTCCCAGGAGCTTTTCAGAGCTGTACACGCTGTCCCTGCAGGAGCCCAGCCGACGGGGGGCCCCAGAGTCTGTGCAGCATGAGACCCTGGAGGTGATCCTGCTGCCCCCCAAAAAACAGCTGCTGCGTCTGTGCCTGCAAGATGGTAGTGGACCTCCAGGGCCTGGGGAGCTGGCCGAGGAGAGGACTGAGTTCCTGCATAGCCAGAACTCACTGTCACCCCGAAGGTGCACCCTCTCAGCCCTCCAGGGTGGAGCCTGGATAGGCAGAGCCCTGGGAAAGCAGCTCCCAGTTCTGAGCCACACCTGTTCTCTCCAGCTCCCTGTCAGATGAGGCTCCAGTTCTGCCCAACACCACCCCAGACCTCCTCCTTGCCACCACAGCCAAGCCATCAGCACCCAGTTCAGGCAGAGACACACCCCCCTCCCAGGTGAGCATAAACAAGGCCATGGAGGTCAAAGACACAGAGGTGACAATGGGTGTCACTGCATCCACATCTACTTCTCCCCAGCACCAGCCAGGCAGCCCCAGTAGCTGTGAGGACAAGGTTGACCCGGCCCCAGAACTGAGGGCCTCCTTCCTGCCACGAACCTTGTCTCTTCGGAACTCCATCAGCAAGAGTGAGTCTGGAGCAGGGGGCTTGGGACCGGACTTGGGAAGGTGGCTTCAGGGCTACCCTCTGAACCTGCCTCCTCTTGCCACAGTCATGTCGGAGGCTGGCAGTGAGACCCTGGAAGATGAGTGGCAGTCCATCTCAGAGATCGCCTCCACTTGCAATACCATTTTGGAGTCGCTGTCCCGGGAGGGTGAGGCCACCAGGGCACTGGGAGGAGAAGCCGGGATGGGGCTCTTTCTCCCTTTCAGACCTGCTAACATGGTCCCTCTGTCCCATAGGACAGCCCATCCCAGAGAGCGGAGAGCCCAAGGGAACTCCAAAGTCTGATGCTGAGTAAGCCGCCCTGCCCTCACACTAGCCACCCCTTCACGCACCTGTGTGGGCCACCCTTCGTGTCCATCCACTGGAGTTGAGCATTTATCTGGGCTCTGCTTCCACACACCTAAGTCTCAGAAGACAGGGAATGGGATCCTCTCATTCAGGGGCCTCTGGGAACCAGCCTGTGGTACTGGTCCCATTGAGTGCTGACCCCCTGTCCTCAGGCCAGAACCTGGGAGCCTGTCAGAGAAGGTCTCTCACCTGGAGTCCATGCTTAGGAAGCTGCAGGATGACCTGCAGAAGGTGAGGAGGCGGCCTGGGGTTGGCAGAGAGTCACAGGGCTGCCCCAGGAGGAGCTGCTCTGACTCCTCCACTGCTTCCCCTAGGAGAAGGCTGACAGGGCTGCCCTAGAGGAGGAGGTGCGGAGCCTCAGGCACAACAACCAGCGCCTGCTGGCTGAATCAGAGAGTGCGGCCACCCGCCTGCTCCTGGCCTCCAAGCAGCTGGGTTCACCTGCCACCGACCTGGCCTGACTATGAGCCTGCTTGGAACTGCATGGCCCTTCAGGGCACCTGAGTCATACGGGTGGCCCTTGGCCTTCCTCAGGACCTCTCCCTGCGCCGAGGCGCGTCTTAGCACTGCCCCCCACTCCCCAGCCCCTTTGGTGGCAAAGGTGCCCCACCTGTCCCTGTTTGTAAATATTCTGTGGAGAAAAGGGGACATCAGGGAGTAAAGAAGCCACACTATTTGAGTTTGTACATGTGTTCAAGGTACCTGTGTTTAGGGAGGGGAGGACACTGTCCAGAGAGGCCACACCAAGCTCCCAGGACCAATTAGGACAGGCCCTGGGAACATTGGCTGAGGATTGGTCTGGCACTGAAGGGTTTCTGGGACTAGGCCACACTTTGGCTTCTGTCCCACAAACATTTATTTGGTTCTCTTGGGAAACAGGTGAACACAGGCCACATCTACTTTCCTTAGAGGGTCCATCCCTGGAGGCAACCTGAGGGGTTGAGGTCAGTGGTCAGGAAACAGGGTGAACCTATAGGACAGAGGAGGAATAGAACTTAGGGATCAGGGAGAGCTTGGTCATGCCTCATGAGGAGGCTCTCTGAGGACAGGCCCCCTCTTCTTTCTCTAGTGACTGAACCCTGGAACCAGGTATTCCTTCAATTGCAGGGCCCAGTTCTAGGGTCAACAGATTCTCTATTCCATATTCCAGAGGCCACTGCCCCATGATCCTCTCTGTTCCTCATCAGGCTGGACCTTCCCCATGAGTAGCATCATCAGCTCCAAAGTTGGATTCTATGTAAATCCTGTTTTGTGACGGAGGCCCACCCAAAGCACTGACTTGGCCAGTATCACGTGCCTCGTCCATCCCCTGCCCCTGGTTGGTTGAAACTAATTGCTGAGACCTAGACCCTGAATCTGTTAACTTAGACTCTGGCAGGGTGAGCTAAGCTGAATAACAGAGCAGGACGGGCATGAGGGGTAACAGGAGAGCTGAGTTTTGGAGGTTGAGTAGAGTTTACCAAAGCTAAAGTATCCCAGTAGGACCCGTCTGGGGCCTACTGGACTGGAGTTAGGGCACACACAGAATCCACAGTTAAAGAGGCTGAAGCTGAATGAGGGTTGTGAGGGGTACACTAGGGACCCTGGATCAGCAGTTCTTAACTGTGGCCCCCCCTCTTTCTGGTTGGGGAACATAATAAGCAGCCCTCGGAGCACAGTGTGGAAGGCAGGCCTTGGTCACTCTCGGGTGTGTCTACAGAGACTAGGATCTGGTCATGGGGTTGACACGCTTTTAAAGAGACAGGGCCTTGGGGATCACTGCAGGACACTGGAAAAGCCAAGAAGAGCAAAGCACAGCCTGGGGAGGAGGACCTGGGCTCACTGGTGAGATTTGGGTGTCAGAACCCTTTGGCCGAAGGGAGGCCAGAAGGTAGTGGTGACTTAAGCCACTTAAGGTAGTAAAGTGACAGTTGTGACAATGGAAAGAAGTGCTCAGTCTTGCCAGGACTAGGTGAGGTTGTTGGGAGTCAGAGGTGGCATCCAAAGCGGTGGCCAGGGTGGTGGCTGAGGCCGAGGAAGTAGGGGCAGGCTGAGGATGGCTGATCACTTGGAACAGGATGAGTTAGGTCCGGGGAATTTCTTAGTGGAAGAGGTCTAGCGGGCTAGCGTGCACGGGAGAGAAGTCTGGGCTGGAGACAAGCATTTGTTGACTGATGAGCCATGAGCACGATGAGATCACTCAAGGAACATGGGAAGGACCAAGAGAGGAGAGCTTCCGGAGGTCACCGCGGGACACTGCAAAAGCCAAGAAGAGCGAGGCGCAGCCCGGCCTGGAGGACCTGGGCTCACAGTTTTCCCTCGACTTTAGGGTGGGACCCTGCGCTCAGCTCCGCCGCCAGCTTTCTCCGGGTTACACGCGGTGGGTCCCGCGGAATCCCGCCCCCGGTCCCCAGCGCTGCGGCTCCATCCAGCCCCGCCTCCCGGGCGCTCCTCGCAAGGTTCGGCAGGGTCCTGGCCCCGGGACGCCACCGCCAGCTCGGGCTCCGCCCTCCGTGCGGAGTTCAATTTGGCCTTCTAAGTGGGTCCGCCCCTGGGCCCGGTCCCTAACCCGAGTCCTCAGCGAGTTTCTCCGTAGACGGCCTCCGTTTCCCCAATCCTCGCCGCTCGCTGGCATCTTCCCTCGCATCACCGTCCATCCGGGTTTACACCCAGGGCTGGTTTCCAGGGGACTCGCTAACTTTGCAGCGCGTCCAAATAACGTTAACTTCCCACACACACTTCCCGCCCCTGGCATCGTCTTTCCTCAGTGGTGCCAAGCCTAGAACACAGACGCCACAGGTCTCAGCCCAGGGGTTTCCCCCATTACCTGGTCTGCCCGGCGCTGAATGCTAACAGTGCGCATGTGCGGCCGGGAAGGCGAGGCAGCCGAACGTCATTCACTGCTGCGCGTGCGCCAGACCAAGCCGGAAGTGCGTCCAGCTTCAGTCGGTGGGCTGTGGCCCAGCCATTGTTTGGCATTCCGGAGGCTCGGCGTTAAGACTTCACCACTCCTCCCAGAACTGAGTATCAAAGCATCGGAGGGGCAGTCACAGACGTTTACCGGGCATTACCCCTTCCCCAGCGAAGCAGACTCTCCCTTGGTCACTCGAGAAGTGAAGCCCAAACTTTGCTTGGCGTGATTGATCGTTTACAGGCTGGCCTCATGATGGTATTAGGAGAGATGCTTCAAATGCTGGCTAGCTCCTCTGAAATCCACCCTATGATGCCCTAAGACCTAGATCCATGAATGGTCTGAAACCACCCCAGCCTCGCCGCCAGTGGGTCCTGCTGGGTTTTTGGACAGGGAGCCCTGCCTTAGCTTCCTATTTGCATCCACTTGGACAAAAACTAGGGGCTTCCAGGGGGCATTCTCAGACCACAGGCTCCAGGATAACTGCATATAAACTCAACTTTTATCACCAATGTCCAGTTTGACACGACCAGCAGTGTGCTGTGTTTGCTAAAGGATGGCAAATCTCTGGCCAGCTTGGCAACAACGTTTATTAGTTCAGAGTAGAAAGAGCAAGAGTCCAACTGCTTTCATTCTTCAGTAAAAACTCTCTTGACTGGAGAGCTTCTGGCCTGTCCTTCCTCACTCTCCAATTTGCCCTGCTATTAAGGCACTTGAGAAAAGCGGGAGCAGAGGAATCTGAGATCAAACTCCCTGGGAATCCTAGAGAGGGCCAGTGCTGTCCCACAGGTTCCCTCTGCCACAGCTGAGCAAGGAAAGAGCAGCACAAACCTCTGCAGGGCAGGAAATCCAGCCCCTCAAGCACTGGTGCCTAGGCAGCACCACACAGGGGATGCTAATAGGAGCATTATTTTAGATTAAGGTGTAAATGAATCCATGATGTGAGGAAGACACTTGATAATAAGGCTTTGTGGCCTAAGAGGCCATAGCTCCAGCTGCCCCGCTCTTTAGGAGGGTGCTAGAAGCTGGAGGATGGGGAAGGGGGCCCCCAGAGTTCCCTACAGAGAAGAGAGCTGACCATCAGGATAGGGGAAGAAATAGTCTTGAGTCCTCCCAGCTCCCTCATTTCCAGAGAAATTAATGCTTCTGCTTAAGCACCTCCAAAAAGAGAAAGATACTGCCAAAAGAATAAAATGCACCACCCCCAGAAGATATCACCCAAAGAAGTTGGGGGCAGCTGGAGCACACTCCCCTGATCCGTAAGTGCTTCGGGAAGGCTTCAATCCCCTGCAACCAATGCTCTGAGCCCGGCCTGCACCACCCGCTTAGGAGCTGATCTGACTCAAAAGGGCCGAGAAGTCCATGTCCGCAATGGAGGAGAAGTCTTCGTCCCCTGAGAGGCCATTGGGGAGCCCTGGGACCCCCAGTGGGGTGGGAGCTGGGTCAGGGGGCCTCTGGGACCCTGTTACCAGGCGAGTTATAGCCTCGGGGTACTCCATCAGCATGGGCTCAGCTGTGGGGTGAGGCATGGATACACCCTGGTTCAGCAGCTGCTGAAACTCTGAGTTGTCAACGGATGCCAGGTCTGTGAACACAGCTGGGTCTGTGCTGTTGCCAAGCAAAGCTCCCAGGTCTTCATCAGCGTCAAACTGCAGGTGTAGCAGGGCCTCCGACAGTGTGCCTTCCCCAGGCTGGGTGGTCTTTGGGGCAGGTGGGGCCACAGCCTGGGAAGGGCCTGGGGCTAGGACTGGAACAGGGGCTGGTGCCATGGCTTGTGCAGGGATCAAGGTCTGGGCCAGGACTGGGGCAGGAGCTGGTGCCAAGGCTGAGGCCTGGCTTGGGATCTGCCCAGCAGGTAACACCATGGGGGTAAACTCATCAAAGTTGATGGTGCTGAGGGATGGTGTAAAGGCATAGGGTTGGGGGGCTGGAGGAGAGAGACAAAGAAGAAGGGGTCAGAGAAAGCACTAGAAACCCCTCCATCCTGTGTGGACCCCTCCCAGTCCCACTCAATAGTGCTCAGGATCAACCCCTCCCTGTACAGCCACTGCCAACATCCTAGCTCCTTCCTCTTACCCAATCTGGACCTGGCCTGTAGCATCCGCATCCAGCAACACCCCCTCTGTAGAGCCCTCTCTGACTGCTCAAGCGCACAATGCTCTCTCACCTCTGATCTCTTAAAGCTCTTATTTTACAGTTGAAAAACCAACTAATAGGGAGTAAGTTAAGAGAGCAACCAGGGAGTCCTGGCCTGGAGCAGGAACTTGTCTTTTAAGCCACCCACCAGTACCTACACCTCACTACTTTAGAAGTGATTTTTTTTTCTTTCCTAATTTAATTGAGAACTTTTCTTAATTGAATTTTCAATGTCTGTATCTTTTTGGGGATGGTACTAGGCATAGAATACAGGACCTAGCACTTACTAGAGCCATTCCACCATCCCTTTTTTGTGTTGGTTATTTTTGAGACAGGGTCTCAATTTATGCCCAAGCTAGCCTGGACCACAATTCTCCTCTGTGCTTCCCTGTGTAGCTGGGATGACAAGCACATACCACCACCACACCCAGCCATTGACTGAGATGGGGTCTTTCCAACTATTTGCCCAGGTTGGCATCAAACTGCAATCTTCCTGATCTCTGCCTTCCAAGTAGCTAGGATTACAGGCAGGAGCCACAGTACCTAGTCTCAACATTTGTATTTTAAGGTATCCAATTCAGGGTTTCACTGCTACAGTGGTCCTTAGACTTCCATTTACATTAGCATTTCCGGGAAATTGCTAGTTCTGGCACCGTACTTCCAGAGACTTCAATTCAGCAGTCTGTGATGGGGCCCAGAGATCCGCGCCTGCACTGCTCCCCAGATAACCCTAGAGAGGTCACAGGTCTTGCCCCTGGGAAGCACAGACCTTACAGATGCCTGCTGGTGAGGCTGATGCTTCTGCTCATATTCCTTCCAGAAAGGGTTACAACTTCAGCCTGAACAAATTTGAACCTGTTGTTCCAGTGGGACAAAAGGAAATCCTTACCTGGCTTGGGGATGGAAGCTGAACTTCGGGAAGGGACAGCAATGCGCCGGGATGGAGGCCGCGGATCAGTAGGTCCTGCAGAGCGAGGGCCAGATCAGTTCTCAGCCCCCAATCCTGGGGTCTCCCTGCCCCCCTGCCTCTCCCCAGGGATCTCCCTATCTTACCATTGAAAGGACTCTTCTTCATGATGCTTTTGAAGGTCTCGTATGTTCTTTTGCGTTTCTCCTCAATCCGGTGGCGATCATCTAGAAAAGCAATGGGAACAGTGAGGCTTGTTCTCCTCAGCCCGGGCCCAGGGCCCCTAGGGGAACCTCGGGGTGGGAAAGAAGCAGAGCTACCCTTTCCGGAGACCCTTTCTCTCAACCAAGGAGAAAGGATGTGTGTCATGAACACTCATCAGTTCTAAGATTCCCACAGCTTTCTGAGAAGGCTCTGTTGACTGCCCCTACCCCTGGAAGGCCCCTGGGTAATGATGCCAAGTGAAGGGGCCCTGCTCTGGGGGACAGGCGTTCTCACTGCAGCCTGAGCCTCCAGCTCACCTCTCACCTGTGCTGCTCACCTCCAGCCTCCACCCAGGCCTGGTGAGAAACACTTCAAACTGGGCATGGCAACCTGCCCAAGACTTCCAGACTCATCCCATCTCTTAATGGCCTGGCACTGTAGAGTCTGGAGCTTTCAGAGCTATCATATGCCTCAGTTCCATCAGTCCAAAGCTAACTTCATCATCTCTCCTCAAAAGCTGGTTCTTCTCCTATGTCCTCTGACCACTTGTCTGTCCTGTTACCAAAACCAGAAACCTTAGAAATATCCAAAACATCTTCCCTGTCACTCCTCACCACTCACTAACATATATCTGACAAACACCTACTATGTGCCAGCTTCCCTCTTAGTCACTGAGTATATGGCTGTAAACACACAAAGGGCTTGCTCCCCAAAAGACAGCATTCTAGTGATAGATGAACAATGACATTACATATACACACACAAGGAGATCTCAAAAAGTGTCAGGAGCTCCAAGGAAGCTCATGCATACAAGGTGATGGTAACAGCACCAAAAATGAAATCGGACAGTCTGAATTAGAGGTGCTCAGGGAAGGACTGGTGTGAGCCACTTGAAAATCAAACATTCCAAGAAGAGGCAATACCTAGAACACAGATCCTAAGATGGGACTGAGTTTAGTGTGTCACATGCAAAAGGCCATGGGGCTGAAGGGCAACCAAGAAAGACAGCCAAACATGTGTGATCTCGCTACCTGCCATCCCTTCTGCAAGACTCCCACACCCATCTTCTCTCTCTCTTTTTTTTTTTTTTTTTCCAACAGTATTGTGGTTTGAACTCAGGGCTTTGTGCTTGCAAAGCAGGAGCTCTACTGCTTGAGCCGCATCTCCAGTCCATTTTGCTCCAGTCATTTCAGAAATCAGGTCTCAAGAACTATTTGCCTGGGCTGGCTTCAAACCATGATCCTCTTGATCTCAGCCTCCCAAGTAGCTAGGATGACAGGCATGAGCCACCAGTGCCCAGCTGTCCCATCTTCTCTCCTGGTCTACTGCACAATCTTCCTAAATGGTGTCCTGGCCTCAAGTCCCTCTGTGATCCTCTACACACAGCAGCCACAGTGAGCTTCCACATCTGTTCATGTCATGCCTCTGCTTAGAAACCTTCGGTGGCTCCCCACTGCCTTCAGGATGAAACCATGGATGTAGCGTGGAGCCTAAGAAGGCCCTCCTCTAGCCAGGCCTGTCACTGCCTGGTAAGAACTTACATCACATGGATGCCACTGAACAGGTTGTGTACTCCCCAACAGCCCTGTCCTTCCAGGCTGGGCTCTCCTTCCTGGAGAACCCACCTCTGGGTCTTTCCCTAAGGTAAATGTCACCTCCTCCATGCACCCGTCTCCAGTTCCCTGTGCCTGCACTCCCATGACACTCTGCACACACCTCCATTGTGTATGTCTTTCTGTGATGTAAGAATGTGATTTACATGTCTGTCTTCCTTGTGACTGAGCTTGTGAAGGGCAAGGAATCTGAGTCACTCATCTTTGTATTTACAACACCTGGCACAGGGGGGCAGGGTAGGTAAGGGAGGGGGCGGGGGTAAGGGGGAGAAATGACTCAAACATTGTATGCACATATGAATAAAAGATAAAAAAAACAACACCTGGCACAGGCCCTGCTACCAAGTGGGAACATAAAACCTTGACCAAAATGTAGCTGGGCTACACGGTAGTGACAAGAGACATAGTGCATGGCAAAAGGTTCGTGGAGCCAGGGGGCCTGCATTCAGATGCTGACTCTGCCACTCACCCTTAACTCGTAAGCGAGCTCAGGCCAGTCTCTACCTCAAAAGGCAGTGAGAGATTACAGTCAGGCAGTTTACTGGAATAGAGGCAGATGTAATAGGAACTCACTAAATTTTGGGGGTCATTATTGTTAAGTGAGATAAGAAATGGATTCTGATTACAGTCATGCATCGCTTAACCATGGGCACACATTCTGATATGCATTGGTAGATGGATTTGTCATTGCGTGAGCATCGCAGTTTGCTTACATGGCTACATCCCTACGTGACATATCTTTGGGGCTGCTACTGTATATGCAGTCTGTCCTATGTGGCAGTGACTGTGCAGTACAGATCCGAAATTCTTGCCACAGACATCCAGTTCTGGCCTTTCTCTTGGTGGAGCCCAGCAGCCCTGTTGCTGCCTTTCCCAGCATATACCTGTGTCTGGCAAGTACTGGAACTCCATGGGCTCACTGAGCTCCCGGTCAGAAGGCCGCCGCAGCTGCATGGAAACACGCACAGGAGCCTGCAGGCCGGGGTCCGCATAGGGAGGGGTCCGGAACACAATGGCCACTTGTCGGTGCACATCAGCTTGAGAAAAGGAGCCTCGGGCCTCCCAGCCCGGTCCCGTGAAATACACTTCAATGTCCTCTGCCAGAGACAGGTAGCAGTGTAGTCAGTGTGTCTAAACCCCACAGCCCGATGCCCCCAACTTCCAATACCCATCTCCTGAGACACTACCCTGCTGCCCACCTGAGGCCACTCAGGTCCCAAGGCACAGAGCAGGTGCATAAAGTCAGATACCTGGCAGTCACCCCCTCTGCTCAGCCTTGTCCTCACCACTCGGTCCAGCCCTGCCCCTGGTGTGTACCTTTCTGCACCTTGTCACACAGCAGGAAGATCTCATCCCCACCAAGACAGCTCCCAGAGTTTCGGTTCACTCGGCAGATCTTGAGTTCTGCAGTGTTGGGGGCACCTGAGGGTGTGACAATAAGGAAGGAAGCCTGAATCACCAGAGGTCCCCAGGGTGGCCAGCAGGAGATGCAACAGCCCATCCCAGGGCTTGCCAACCCAACTACACCTCTGTGGTCAGAGCCTGACCATTCCCATTGCTCCTCACCCCAGCCAACTCAGCAACTACTCCTACCATGTTCTGTGCCCCACATGTTCGAGGCAAAAGAACGACAATGTGCAAAATCTAAACAGCTGACCGCACCTTTTCCCCACCCAACTCAGGCATATCTTCAGGTCCTGTCCATCCCCACCACGGCAATGAACCCTTGCCTCCTGACTCCAAGTTACAATGGCTCCCTGTCCTTGGGGGCTCCAGAACCCTTTTGTTTTCACTCATCCTGCTGGTTACTTAAAGAACTGCAATTGACCAATGTCAGTCTAGTTCATCCATGAGCTTTCTGTGACTTTTGTCACTGAATATCACTGTCTGGCATAGCCAGCTTCCTGGAAATCTATTTCCCAGAGTCCTGGCACAACACCTTCTCATCACATGATATGGAACCCAACTTCCTGCCAGTCTGAAAGCTACACCTTGAGAGCAGCTCTGGATCTTCTCTACCCTGTCCCCAGCCTGCACAGTTGGGCACAGAAGAGATGATGGATATGCCAGATGACTGAATGAAGGCCAAGCTCCTCTCACAGGTCACACCCACCCCAGCCTCTGCCTCCAACCCAGGCCCGCCCTCTCCCCTTCTTGGTTCAACCTGGCCACTCACGGTTGTCAAAGATAGGATGAGAGAGGACAGGTGGCAGGCGAAGGGGCCTGCCTGATGGGTCCCGCACTGTCACCTGGAAGCAGAGCCGCACAGCATTCAGGTCATAGTCCCCACGCTGCTCTTCTATGGGAACTACCAGAAAAACAGAGGGTCAGGAGAGCCAGGGGGCTGGGGAAGGGCAAGTGAAGGGGCTGAGGGAGAGCAGGGAGCTCTGGTTTGGGTTGGCTATCTGAGTGTACATGAAACAGAAGTTCTAGGGAGGAGGAAGACAAAATTCTGAACCTGTCACTGACTCCATTGTGAGCAGGCATGTTATGTCCCCTCTCTGGGACTGTAAGCTGAATAAGCAGCAAGATTCCATTTGCACTGTGAGTCTTGGCCATTGGAGATGCAGGGCAGGCAGTCTGGGGTGACAGAGGTGTGGGGGCTATAGACAGGCTCAGGTCCTCCCTGCCACTCACCTTGGAAGGGGTTGTTGTTGGTCTGGATGCGCTGGCTGATCGCTTGCTCCAGGTCCCGCTTCTTCACACATTGGATCCCCAGATTCTGGAAGCTAAAACACCCCCAGGCATCAGTTCCATGTCTCCAGCAGAGACTGGACAGTTCCTCCTCACCCCCTCAGGTCACTGCTCTGTGCTCCACACCCTCCAATAGCTTCCCACCATGCTGTGAAACCCACTCCTTACCTTGAGCTCCCACAGGACCTGGCCCTTGTCACTTTCTCCAAAACTCCACCCTCTGCTACAGGGGCTTCTTTTCCATTCTCTACTCACACTAAACTCAATCCCACTTCAAGGCCACAGTTCCTTCTACATGGAATGCTTTCTCACACGTCTCTGTTTTTTCTCACCATTCAAGTCTCGAAGAGAAAGGTCTTTCTGACCTCCCAATCCAAAGTAATAAATGACACTAGCTTCCCTCCTCTCCTGTCTTGGGTTATCCTTCCAACTGTTGTGCTGTCTTGTTTTCATCACTGAAATTATTACTAATAGTACCTTGACGGCTTATTTATTTAATCATTTGTGGCCTGTCTTTGTCAACTGGATGTAAGCTCCAGAGGAGTTGTTAGTTCAATGGTTTTCTTTCTCAACAGGAGACTCTGAGGGACTCCCCCTCTTCCAGCCATAGGAATTAGGGACTCCAAAGTGATTAGGGATTCAGCCCTATCCAATGGAGCTATCATTTGCTAGAGAGTGAACACAAATCAACAGAGAATCTCAAAGAAGATTGCTTACACAGCTGGAAGACAGAGCACAGAGAAAATTCAAGCTTGTGTCCAAAAAAAAAGTAACACTGTAACAACTACTCAGCTCCCTGCCTTCTGCCCCCCACCTCACCCACCACCCGCTGGCCTGTGGGAGTGGGGAACTCACCTGTGGATGCAGCGGTCTGGACAGAGCTCAGCCTCATAGAAGCCATCCCGGCAGTCTTTCCCCACAAGCTCATGGGGGTGAGGCCGGTGAGGGGGATCCTTGGTGACCAAAGAGATGCGAACTGTCCCTGGTCCTGTATAGCCATTGATCTGTCCAAAGCACAGAGAGTACACAAAAGGCCAGTAACCTCCGACCTAGCTCCCAGACACAAGGTCACTATGGCCTGGGAGGCAAGTCTGCTGGGGGCTCCACAGTCCCTTCTGCCACATCTGTGCTCCCACCCACCCCTGGGGGCCGGTGCTGACCTTGATAGTGGGGTGTGTCTTGGTGGTATCCGTGCTCCTCTCGCCTGGGATACTGCCTGCTGAGCGCCCCTCACACTTGTAGCGGAAGCGCATGCCGCGCTGCTTGGGCTGCTCGATGATCTCCACATAGGGACCAGAAGCTTGGGCTGGCTCTGCTGGAGGCGCAGCCAGAGCCATCAGGGGCTGTCCTGGTGGTCCCCAACCTCAGCAAGCCCCTCCCCTACCACTGCCCAAGGACAGCCCACTTACCTGAGGGGAAGATGAGGGGGAAGAGATCTGAAAGGGGAGGAGACACTGTCAGTATAAGCCCACTGCCAGTCCTCACCAGGGAGAGCCTGATGGAGCCAGGATCCCTCCTTGGGAAACTGAGTCAGGACCCGCTCCCTCCAACCTGCGCTGAAATTAAGGGATGGGAGTAAGGAAGGCAGCGGCACATGTTTCCCGAAGGAAGAGGGGTATGGAATTCTTCCTCTGTCTGAGGGAAACTGAGTCAGATACATTTTCCCCTAACAAGGAAATGAAGAGCTACACCCACCAACTGGGGAGGGAGGGAGGACTGAGTCAAGGCTCACCCCGCTCTCCCACCCAGGGAGGGTAGTGAATCACTGACTCCCTCCACCGAGAGGGGAAACTGAGTCAGACCCCTCGCTGCCCGCCCCGCCCCACACACCATCCGGCCGGCCGCTCCCTGCGCAGCACCTCGCGGCGCAGAAAGGGGGCAGAAGGCAGCGCGGGGGGGGCTCCCGCCACGGCCCCGCAGATCCGAGAGCGGCCATCCCACGGGGTCAGAGGGCGCCCTCACCGTCCATGGTCGGGGTCCCGGGGGCGGGGCCGGGGTCGCAGCTGAGCCCGCGACGCGCGCTACAGCGGAGCCATTTGCCAGAGGCGGAAATGCGCCGCGCGCGCCCGCTGTCGCGTCACTGCCCGGAATCCGGCCGCGCCTGCGCGCTGCGCCGCCGCCGTCGCCGTCGCGCGGGGGTCGGGGGCGAGTGCGCGCCGCACCGCGGACGAAGAGGTCGCGCGCGCGCCGCCGCCGTCGCCGCCTCCGCCGCCCCCAGGGGCCGGCGACAAGTGTGCGCAGTGCCGGGGACCAAGAGGGTTGCTCGGCCAGCGGCTGCGCGCCTGGAGGCCGCTCCTGCGGCTGGCGGCTCGGCTCGCTGTCGGGTCCCGGCCCCGCCTGGAGGGCGGGCCGCCGATTACTCACTCTGTTTTTAGGGGATTTCGGGTCCTCCCCCCCGCCCCCCGCGCCGATCGGAGGAGTCTGGTGATGTCACCCCCGGCCGGGACTGGAGCAGAGCCAGGACGGCTTGGCTGCCCTGCGTGGGGAAAGGCCCGGGCCTGCTGCGCCCGCAAAGGCCGGGTGGCTGGACGCCACGCGGGTTTCCTAACCGTCCAGCGGCTTCGTGGAGGCTGCAGCATGGTTGGCGCGACCGAGGCCCAGGGACGCGTCCACAGCCGCGGGCGGGGAGACCGAGGGCTTGTCACCTGTCCCGCCAAAGCACGATTTGAGATACCGCCAAACTCTGGGCCCTCAGGGCAATGAGTGCTGGAGGCGACCAGGAGTAAACCCTGGGGCTGACCTCTGCCACCTGGGATCTGTCTCAGAAGGTCCCAGAGCTCCAGGGACCTCTCAGACACCAGGGTCACGCTCCTTGCGCATCTCAGGGCCTCCAGCTTGGGCCCAAGCTCAGAAGTAGAACTGTCCTGTGACTCCAGGGTGCGGGTTGAGGGTGGCGACCTGGGCTGCAGCACGCCCACCCCAGGCACCCTCCTCGTGCCAGAAGGACGATGCTCCACGACAGGTGGCCCAGTCTTCTCCAGATGGAGAAAGACTTATTTTCTCTGAATTCGTCCTAAATTAGGAAATCATGTGGGAATTGGAAAAGACTGGAAATTCTGACTTGCTTTCCCAGGCTCTGAAAAAACAGGAAGAGAAAAGTGAAAATAGTTACCGCCCCTCCCACTCATTTCGGTTTCTCACTTGGCTGGGTTAGAAATGTTAGTTTGCTGTTTTGGGGAGGTGAACTTCAGGCGGACAGAATGGATTACTTTTAATCTGTGGTTAATGACACAGTCATCATTTGCCCTTGTTTGATCCTCTTTTTAAAACTGACATATATTTATAACAAATTAATACCATGAACACCAGTATGCTACTTATTACAAAACAAGTTTATCTTATCGCCATATCTAGGCTGGCATCCTTGAGAATTCTGTATTTTAAAGAAAAACAAGGCCAGGTGCCAGTGGTTCACTGGGAGGCTGAGATTGGGAGAACTGCAGTTGGAGGCCAGCCCAGGCAAATAATTCAGGAGATCCCCGCCCTCCAAAACTAACCACAACAAAATGGACTGGAGGTGTGGCTCCAGTTTAGCATGCCTGCTTGACAAGCATGAAGCCCTGAGTTCAAACCCCAGACCCACAAAAGAGAAAAAGAAAAAAAAATAGATATATATGCCTGCACAACATATTGTCTGGTTTTGCTTAGTTTTGAACTTTTATGAAAAGGTATTATTGTCCTTTGTTACTTGCTTTTTTTATTCAACATATTACTAAGGTTCATCTATTTCACAGTTCACTCACTTTTCCTTGCTGTATACTATTCTGTTGTGTAAATATACCATTTTATCCGTTCATTCTGAGAATGGGTGTTAGGATTTGCAGTTTTTTGGTATTATAAACTATGTTCCTAAGAACATTCCTATAAATGTCTCCTGTTGGACATAGATCCAAGGGTTTCTCTTGGGCATTTATCTCAATGTGATAATGCATTAGTTCTCTGTCATTTTCTACCAATGATCAGAAGTGATCAGTAGGTGCTGTTCCTCTGCCCAGCTGCTGGCCATTCTCTACCCTTTTCATGGCATCCTAACAAATCTTTGTTTTCTCCTAAAAAAATGATCATAAGTGGTTTGATTGCTTGTTTTGTGGTGCTGGTGTTGAACCAAGGGCCTTGTGTATGCTGGGCAAGCTCTCTAGCACTGAGCTGCACTCCCACACCCAGTAAGGGTTTTTTTTTCCACAAATATATATATTTATTATATATTATTAATTAATTATATTACTGATTATACATCAGTTTCTTTTTTGGTTTGAATTCAGGGCTTAGTGTTTGCAAAGCAGGCACTCTTCTACTTGAAGCACATCTCTAGTCCATTTTGCTCCAGTTGTCTTGGAAATGCCCTCTCGAGAACTACTTGCTCAGGCTGGCTTCAAACCAAGATCATCCCGATCTCAGTTTCCCAAGTAGCTAGGATTACAAGCTTGAGCCACCATCTCCTGGCAGATTTATTTTTTAAAGAAAAATAAAAGGGAGGGAGGGAAGGAAAGTAAGGAAGGAGGGGAGGGGAGGGGGGAGTATGGAATATAAAATAAATATAAATATAAGCTGTTTTACTAATTGTTTTTACAGAGAATTCCTTATGTAAAACACAATGAAGGTGTTTCCAACAGGGTTGAAAACCTGTTTCTGATTTGGATTCAGGCTCCGGTCCATGTTCTTGGATGGATGGCTGGGTGTGTGGCACAGTCTGTATTTAACCAGACTTGAACAGAAGAATGGCCGCCCGGCCACATGAGGGATTGAACCCAGGGCCTCAAGCATGCTAGGCAAGTGCTTTACCATTTGAACCACACCCCAGACCTTGAGTTGGTATTTTGTTTTTGAGATTGGGTCTAACTAACTTTGCGTGGAGTATCCCAAACTTGTGATCCTCCTACTTCAGCCTCCCAAGTTCTGGGATTGAAGGCATGTGCCACCACACCCAGCTCCTCCTTACTAAGGGCCCACAGAACCTTTTCCTGTCCTGTTGTGCGTGTTCTAACATGTTTGCATTTTTTAAACTTTTAAATTTTATTCGTCTTGTGGTGGTACTGGGGAGAAAACTTAGGACTCTGTGCTTGCTAAGCAAACGCTCTATCACTTGAGTCATTCTGCCCACCCCCTGTCCACATTTTTTATCACGGCCTTTGGTCATTTATGGTTACCGTGGAGCTGAGATGGCCCCCTTCTGGGCAGACTCAGGCTACCAAAGACATGGTAGCCTTGTTTTCCTTGTTTCTTTTTTTTTGTGCTGAAGTTTAAACTCAGACCTCGCACTTGCTATGCAGGTGGCCCTGGTTTTTGTTGTTGTTGTTGTTGTTATTTGTGTTTTAGGAGATGAGGTTGTGCCATGTTGTCCAAACCCCTGGACTCAAGTGATCCTCTTGCCTCAGACTCCTGAATGGCGGGAGTACAGGTAGACACACTGCACCCAGCTATTTTTTTTTTTGAATCTTAATAAATATATGGATTTAAACCTATTTGATGTGCTTCAATAGATTCTGAAGTTCAAATTGTTCCATCTTCAGTCATAAGAGACCTCTTTAGGTTGGTTCTTTAGTCCTGTTGGTTTTTTATTTTTATTTGATTTATTTTTAATGATTTTATTAGCATATAATAGTTGTATGGGGGATACACTGTGATATTTACATATGTGCTTACAATATATTTAGTTACATTTACCGCCCCCCCCATCATTTTCTCCTTTTCCCCCTTCCCCCTTCTTAGCACAATTTCAACAGGTATCATTCTTCTGTTTTCACATATGGATACAAACACATCTACTACGTACACCCTCAGCCCCCCTTTCCTTGTGCCCACCCCTCACCCACTGGTACCCATCTCCCAGAAAAGCCTTACTTTTTTCTTCCTGCCCTTCATTTTTTAAAAAAAATTAAGTGTATACTGATAGTTCAAGGTGGTTTTGCCTTGGTACTTCAGGTCTGTATGTATCAGGCTTTTATAAAATTACTCCCCTCCCCTTGGTTACTCAGTCTCTACCACCACGCCCCCCCAATATGCAACAGTTTACTGTACGGTGTGTTATATTATATTCATATAGAGATGGCTTTTGCAATATTTTTCATTCTCTAACATTTTCTTTCTCCCACCTCCCATAGCTCCCTCAGACAGACTCACTAATAAATTTTGTTCTCTGTCACTATATATGATCATATATTTTCTATATGTACATTTAACTTACAGGTCTAGCTTCCACATATGAGAGAAAACATGCAACATTTGATTATTTGAGCCTGGCTTACTTTGCTTAACATGAAGTTCTCCAGTTCCATCCATTTACCTGCAAACAACATAATTCCATTCTTCTTTATGGTTGAACAAAACTCCTGTTTTTATATATACATTTTCTTAATCCATACATCAGTTGTGGGCAAGTCCTATTGTTGATAAAATTCCAGTTTTTGTCATAGTTTCTTTGATGGCTGGTATGAAATGATGTTTGATGTTTCCAGGCTCATTTGGTAGATTTTCTCCCCAAATCTGGAATCAGACAGTTTTCCAAAGAGTCTGTGTCCTCTCACTGGGAAACAGTACTCACAGGCCACATTTTGAGAGGTAGCATTCTTCTTGCTGCTGGGTAACGCATTGTAGATCTTTCAGCGAACAGTTAGGAAATGTTTTAAGATACAAAATGCATTCACAATTCATGCTGATGTCTTCTAATCAAATTTAGGACTTTAGAGTTTAACTTAGCTTAAATCATTTTTCATATCTCTCTTGTGTCAAAAATCTGGATTTTTCTTTTACAGAGATAGAAAAATCCATCATTAAGTTCATATAGAATCTCAAGAGAACCCAAATAGCCAAAACAGTCCATAAAAAGGTTGCAAGTTTTGGATTATAGATGATAAAAAAGGTGAACAAATGTACAGAACTAACATTTCCTGATTACAAAACTTACTACAAAGCTACTATACTCAAAACAGTGTGGTGCTGGCATAAATACAGATATGTGACTGATAATACAAAATAAAGAGCCCAGAACAATAGATGCTTGCATATATACCCAAATAATTTTCAACAAGGGTGCAA